GTTTCAAATGGTTTTTGCTCTGGCCTTGTCACTGGCCCCATTGAAATGGGAGGATAAGAACTGTTTTTTGCTGCCATTTTATCTATTTTGTTTCCCCACTCTGTAACAATTTACTATCACACTGTAGAAGATACTATTTAGAACTGTTGACGTAACATGTAGTGACAAATAAAAATGAAACAATCATGCTTAATTGCATTTAAAAATAGAAAACCCTTACCATGACGCCTCACTTTTGATTTTACCGTCGAGAAGTGGTTCTCTCCCATCAGTCACTCATCAGCACTCGTCAGCACAACTTTGCGCATCTAAACTTTCCGAACCGTTCAAAGCTCCCGGATTTGAAAGGAAAAAGGGCCGTTTTGAGCCGTTATGGAGAAGAAGGAGAAAGAAAAGATGGAGAAGGCGAAGGGAGATGGAAAGAAGCGCGATGAGAAGAAGAACAACAAAGCCAGCAAGACCAAACTGGCCACCGGTGGGGGCAGTCAGACGAAGAGAGGCAAGTCGGCGCACAAGGCGGTGGGTCGTCACGGCTCCGGACACCGCCATCACCACGACAGCAAACACAAACACCACTCAAAGACCAAGGTGGGCGGCGGGGTTTCGAAAACACGAGCCAAGGGCTCGTCTGCCGTGAAGAAGATCAAGTCACTGGCGAAGAACGTGAACAGCGGCGGCGGCAAGTCGTCTGGGGTGAAGCGGGCCAGCAGTCAGCAGCGCGGCGCCTCCTCCTCCGTCAGATCGGGAGCTCCGAAGAGCGGCCTGCAGAGCAAGTCGACCAGCGGGGCGGCGAAGAAGAGGGGCAAATCGCCGCTGAAGAAGGCCAAGTCGTACACGAAGGCGCAGCCACTGCTGGCGGTCAAGTCCTCGGTGAAGCAGAGCAAGACCAAGCTGGGGCTGGCGTCGGCAGCTCAGAAGGGCAAGGCAGCTCCTCCTGCTCCCTCGGGCAGGGGCGAGTTCCCCAAGGTGAAGGCGGTCTCCACTGTGGCGAAGACCAAGTCCTTTGTGGGCGTGAAGGTGCCCGCCAAGGCGACCAAGTCTTTCACCAAGACACCGGTGAAGAAGAGCGCCATTCCAGTGGACTCCTCCTCCAAGAGCGCCAAAACGGTCAGTAGTAAGCTGGCGGAAAAGACAAAGTCGTCCGTTCCGAAGAGCAAACTTGGTGAGGTGAAGCCCAAGGAGGTGGTCGTCAAATCTTCTGCTACCTCAAAGAGCGTCTCGGTGAAGAAGGTGGCGGAGAAGGTCGCCGCAGAGAAGGTGCCGGAGGAGCCGGCCAAGTCGACTAAGGAGGTGGTGTCGAAGAGCAGTGCTCCAGCTAAGGAGGAGAAATCGAAATCTGAGGCAGCAAAGGCAGCCGTCGCCGTGCCCAGCGCCTACAATGACCTGACGTTCATTCCGCCGCCTCTTTCACCGCCGCCTTCACCCCCAGCTCCTCCGCCTGCAGTGATGGCCGCCAAGAAGGCCAATGAGTTTGTCGGGAAGGAGGTGATGGTGAAGAAGCTGGTCAAGTCCTCCATGGGAGAGCCCACTGGTCGTGGAGAGCCGATGAAGATGAGGAAGATCAAGCTGAAGCAGAAGCGTCGTAAGATGCCAGTGGTCGCTCCCATTGCCGCCAAACCGCCGCCGCCGCCTGAGACTGCCAAGTCTGACAAGTCAAAGTCGGCTCCAAAGGTGGTGAAGAGCGAGAAGGAGGTGAAGTCAGTTGGCCCAATGGAGGAGAAGGTGGTGGGGGAGGTGGTCAAGTCGAAGAAGGAAGGCGCCGAAGAGGCTGCAAAGCTGGTGCCCAAGGAAGAAGTGCTCAAGAGTGACGGCATCAAGGAGGGTGAAAAGGAGGCCGTCAAAGAGGTGCCATCCACGGCTGTTCCTCCTCCTCCTCCCACTTCTTCACCGCCCTCAATCGAGCCTGGAAAAGTTGAGGCCGAAAAAGTCCAGCTCNCCGTCAAAGAGGTGCCATCCACGGCTGTTCCTCCTCCTCCTCCCACTTCTTCACCGCCCTCAATCGAGCCTGGAAAAGTTGAGGCCGAAAAAGTCCAGCTCGCCGAGGCAAAGGAAAAGAGCGAGAAGAAGAAGGAGGAGGAAGTGGAGAAGAGCAAGACAGAAGGAGGCAAAGAAAAGAGCGCGAAACAAAGTGAGGCCGCAGCTGCGGCTGCTCTGGCTGCTGGCACCGCCGCCCTGGCTGCTGCCACTGATGCTGAGACCACCAGCAAAGTCAGCTCACCTCCGCCCACTTC